TTTTTTTTTTTTTTTTTTTTTAGTTCAACAATTGCAGGAGGGAGGAACAAATTATTGACCTTTGAGATGATAATTGGTGCCTTATCCCTAAGTCATAACTAAAATTCCTATACGATTAATATATAATGCATCGATATACAATTGATTAAAACTCCAATAGAAGCTACCTTCAAAAGAGGGGTTTTAAGATGAATGCAATTATTTTATTTATCAAGCAGCACCATTCGGAGTGTCCTATTTTTTTGTACAACTTCAGATATTTAAGAACATGCCTATGAAGAACCCACAATTCAATATAATCAATAATTTGGAAAAGAAAAATCCATGAGTATACATGTCGGTCAACGAATTCAAAATGAACAAAAGAAAAGAAGAATAGGATGAAGGTGATCTATAATAAAAATGTGAATACACAATAGTTGCAGCTTTGTCTTAACATTTCAAAAGTTTTCAACGTTTAGTGAAAGTGTCAATTTTTCCATTTTCGATAATGTCTTAAAAAAATAATGACGTGATAGGTAAAAATAATATTTTTTTCTATCAATTCACACCTTTTGAAAGCTAAATATCTCCAACTCTAGCCGATTAAAGATTCCAACCTGATCCTATCCAAATTTTTAAAACTGGAAGTATAAGATGCTATTTAACATTAAAAAAAATGCTTTATCATAAAAAATAATATTTTAAAAATGCCTTAGCATTCCTTTATTCAATTTCAACTACCTTCTTGAGTAGAAAGTTGATTAATTTCATTGAATTTTTTTGTAACTTGACAATAGATTTGAAACCTTTAAAATATTAGAAATAAAATTTTAAAATGGTGTGAACTTTGAGAACCAAATTATATATTTACCTTAAAAGTTAAGAAAAAATGTTATCTAACATACCAATTTCTCGGAGGTTCACATCAGGAGCAATAAAAGAATTTTCTTTCATTTTGTTAGTATGAATTTGAAGAATCTGTAAACGGCCATTCTCATCCGGTAGGCTGATTTCAACCTGAACTTCCAAGCGACCTGGTCTGTAGAAGCTCATGTGCTTAATTATAGAATCATAACCAAAATTCTTCGTAGGAAAGGAAAAAAAAAAAAACTAATTCTTAAGAGAAAGAAACCTCAAAAGGGCTTCATCAAGTAAATCCTTCCTGTTGGTCATGCCAATAAGTAGCACATTGTTTAATGATTCTACACCATCTATCTGTATAGAAATGATGCCTCTTAGACATGATATAATCCTTGTGTTTAAAAACTTTTAATAAAAAAAAGTATAAAAGAAGGTCCCCTAAACGTAGTGCTGATATTAATTTGCTACAAAAAAAATTCAGACAAACCTTCGTGAGTAACTGGTTGACAATGCTATCATGAACTCCAGTTCCATCTCTAGTTGATCCCCTTGCCTGCAGGCATGATAGAAAAAAGTGAAACGGGTAACTTTTGTCTCAAAACCATATAATATATAAACAAATACTCAGGAAACAAGGTTGGCAAATGGGTGAAATGCTTATTACAGTATGTGTTCAGTTACTATCCTATGGATTGAATTGTGGATTTATTCTTAGTTTTCACCTTTGAAATAAAATTACAGAAAAAATTCTGATTCAAGAATAGCCAACCACAAGAGCCAGCTCTTCATTTTAGCCTAAATAGGTTTTTACAACTATGAGGAGATCTAGTGACTTTTTCACTTGGGAAGTTAAGTTCTTTGTGAATCTAAAAAAATAATAATAATAATAATAAAGCTACAATATATTACAAGAACCAAATACCTTACAAATAGCATCAATTTCATCGAAGATGATGACATGCAACTCACTTTGGTCTCCTGTCTTGAGAAAAAGCCATCTTGGAATTAACAAAATTGAAATACTTGCGATGAAATATCATAATATCTATATCACTCCCATTACCGTGGGCCCTTTGATCATTCTCAGCATCAGCAAAAAGATCTCTCACATTCTTTTCAGTTTCCCCAACAAACTTGCTCAAGACTTCAGGGCCATTGACAATCTAACAAGGTGGAGAAAAACGTGTGGGAGAGAGTGAGAGAACAAATAAAGTTTGGCCAGGTCATAATATAGATTATGCCAATTCGCAGAGACTATGTAGAAGCAGTGGCAATCAGAGATCATACAAGATTGACCAAGTAGAGGTGTAATTATTGACAATTCCAGATGCAGGAAGAAAATTGCACACTTCAAAATCAAGGACTATGCATGAACACTTTGGGCCATAATGCCTCAAAGGTCTTGGTTTTCATAATCAAATATTCTCTATTGTTAACAGTCGACTTCAAAATATAAGTCAGCTTGTCATCCAGGCAATACTAAAATTTAAGAGATCTTACGCATCTAAAATGGAAACTGGAAATGAGAGAAAATAAAACGGAAGCAGATGGAGGATGATATGAGCCTATGATGTAAAAAGTACATCAAACATACATAAAAGGTTGAGTTATATATTAACCTTTGGTTCTCTCCCATTCAACATTTTTCCAATTTGACGTGCAATAAGAGTTTTGCCAGTTCCAGGTGGTCCATATAGCAGCATTCCTTTCACATGTTTAATTCCCAACCTGTAGCAGGTATCTGCTTAGAAAACTTGGTAACCACAAGAAAATGATTATTGTCATTATTAGATTCTTACTTGCTGGTCACATGAGGAGGGAAAACACGAGAGGCAAAAGCTCTTCGAAATATATCAGCAAACTCTTCACTTAATCCACCAATACCAAGTGCTTGAAGATTAAATTCTTTTTGCCGAAAAATGCTACTACTAGCAGCTTCTCGTTGATTAACGATCTGCAAAGTGCAAGGGAATGCATGCAAGTCAAAGAGAAGTAACTAAAAAATTACTCATCCAAGAATGGTGCACTATATAGAGAATCAGTATAGATGACTATCACATCAATGTTATTAGGACTCTCTTCCTTCACAGACTATAATGAGCAAAGAGGAAATAGAAAACATGAGAGAGAAGCATGGAAATTTTCATTATCGGAGTATTTAAGTCAATACATGAAGCAAGCACCAAGAAAGGTCCAGCATTACCATAATATCCTGGACCTGTACTCAGTAATAATTATTGCAATCAAAAGTATCCATAATGACATCTCCAACACATAATATGAAACTGAACATTTATATTTACATTTCCATACTACAATATAGGATTGTCTTGTTGGACTAGAAACGTTAAATTGATAAAATTAAATGCACAGAGAAGTGGGGAGCAAAACTCCAGCACAATAGAAAGTACAGGAAGAACTGCTAATTGATGCATGGAGAGGTTACTATAGTTTCAGAAAGAATTAATAAGCCTGCACCAAGTAGCAGCCAAGTAAATTCCCTTTAAAAGTACAACAATCCAGGATTGATGCCTTCAAGCCATTTCATGGTTTTAAATGTAGCTACATCTAAAAGAACATAGGAGGGTTGGATCATTACTACTAAAAGGTAAGGGATAAATAAGAAGAAGATGAAGATAAGCTTAAAAGGAAATGGGTGCAGTACTCTCAAATAAAAAAGCTTACAAGGAAATGGATGAGATTTTCTAACAGATGATCTAACCTTTATTCCACTTCCATTTGATGTTTCAAAGACAAAATAGGTATCATTTGAAATCATCCCTCTTTCAACACTATTGGATGTATCTTGCCCTTCCACAACAGCTTGATTAACTGTGAAGATGTAGTTAGTACCATGGTACTCAAAAGAAGCTCTTTGCCCTGCTGTCATTATCTGCATGCAAGCATAACCAGAAACTTGTAAGTTATGCCCCCACAACCTTTTTCTAGAAGGTATCATATGTTATTAAACACCAAATGAGAAACTGAAAAGGACCTGCATTCTAGATAATCAATATTGGTCTACAACATAGGATAATTATTAACTAATATTTTAAAATAACAGAATGATGAAAAGAAATCTATGAATTATAACTTATCAGGGTATTTTTCAACTAATGTCTGGATTGATCTGCCACAACCATAGCACCGTAGAAAATCTATGAAAGGTTATAGTAAAAGGAAAGTAATATTTACACGATTGACAAAAAAGAGAAAAAAAACCAAAAACAAGCAAACAATTGGAAATTATGGCCACCTGAGAGGTTACCAAGTAACAAGAGCATGCATATCAGGTAAGTTATGCCTCAAAATTTTACCTGGTTGATAAATCTTTTCCTCAATTGATTAGCCAAGAGAACAGCATCGACCTACAAAATGTAAAAAGAAATAAAACATTAATAATTAACTCCTTGATGATACACTTTGAAATTATCCTGGGGCAGGCAAGAATAGTTCAAATTTGATTTCATTCTGCATACCTGCTCACTTTTGGACCCCTTTTTAACGAACTCCAACTCCAATCTGAGTAAAGCCAGGTTGAAATCATCTGGCGGGATAAATCTAAGCAAAAAAATCATTTTATAAGTATTATTATTGCTGTGACAGCTGCAAAGAAAAAGAGTTCGGTATAGACAAAGACCTTGCCACAGATATTCTGTCCCCAGTTGAAACTCTGGCATGACGACGTTGAATAGCATTTAAGGCAATATGGCCACTGCCTATGCTTCCATGAGGAGTTTTTCTCAGTTAAGCCCACAAAAGTAAAATAAAATGAAAGAGAGCCACCATAGAATGCCATATTCTCTCACTTTTGACATAACATAACTGGATTCACTAGTCGTCAATTCCATCAACACCTTTGTATAATTGAGCAAATGACAAAAGCAATAACGAACAAAAGTTGAACTAGCAGTACTACAAATGTCAAATTTTTCAAACAGAACAACGTGATTTGCTCCAAGAACAGGTAATAATCTTGATAATACGGAAGTAAGATAATTCGTGGTCTCATACACTAAAATTAGTCAAATATTAAGCTCGAGACGAGCTTGAAACTTCACCAAGCTATGAAATATGCTCGCCAAAGCATGATGCAAAATGGCTAATTAGAATTTAGGACAGCGCAAAATACGATATGCAACTAAGAAAGTTTGAGTAAGGCAAGGAAAACAAAATCTGAAAATTGGAAATGATCGAGGTAAAAGTAAACTAATGAAAAAAGGATATGAGAGGGAGAGGACAAAGGAACCGCCAACCAACCCGAGAAAGAGCTTAGTGCCAGGGACCGCATAGTTTTGAAGATCAGAAGCGGAGCAGTAAGCAAGATTAGTAAGGGCAAGGTCCGCCGCCGGTGTACTGGTAACGATCATGGTGGCCGGAGCAGTTGAAGATAGGCCAAACAGACCCGCCATTTTCCCGCGAGGTCTTCAGATCTTTGCGATCAGCGTGGAATAGAGAATCCGTGAGCCTATGTTTCAATAGCAGATTCCAAATTCTGCTGTTTGAATTACGGGAAGTGAGGAATGAGAAAATGTAAACCGACGCAGAATTGGAAGAGAGAGTAGAGAAACGAGATCTGTAATGCTTACCGAATTCCAAGCTCTGCTGGATTGAGTCCCGACGAACGTTGCCTTCGAGAAAAAGGGGCAGAGGTTGAAGACGGAACAAGTCGCACAGAGAAGAAGGAGAAAGGCAAGATCTTGCAATGGAACATGCAGAAAATAAACACCAAACCTTAGTGGTTAAGGCTCCCTTTTGAGTTGGGTATGTTCATATTGGAAATTTCTGAATTTTTTTTTTTTTTTTTTCGTATAAAAACATAAAAATTAATAAATAGCAAAAATAAAATATGAGTATCAACCATTAAAATATATTTTTACCGTCTCATACAATAACTCGATTCATTACCCTACAACGGTCGGAAGCGTCGATTATGCTCTCTAACCATAGCATTTACTCGCTCTGAGTTAAAATAATATTAGTTTTTCATTAAAATATTTTCGTATATTGATATATAAATTAAAGTGTGATAAAAATATAAGATGACCCGAACTTTATCATGTAGTATGGCTGCTCGTCGAAGGTAGCATAATTCAATAATCTTTGTAACCGAAGATACCAAAAGTCATCCATATAAACCTATAACTACCCTGAAGTTTACCATCTTGGTATTACCCTGTATATTTCTCTTTACATTCTCATTGTTGTTCTTCGTATTCTTCACAAAGATCGAGTGTGTGAGTTGTGCAATCCTAACAGTTATAGTTTAATTTTACACTCGAAAGAGGCCGTTTAGATTAAAACTTAAATGCATGATTGATGTAGTTTTATGCTCGAGAAATTTAGGACCACTTTAAAATGGGTTAAATTTTAGGTTTGATTTGGTGTCTAATTCAACGCATCATGCCTAGATTCATACCGAGATTTGAAATTTGAATTCAGCATTTAATAACCTCGACATTCCCTGTATACCCTACGACACAATTGTCGTTATCTATTTGACTTGTCTTATAGTGTTTCTAAGAGTGAAGGTTATCCCCGAAAACTAAAAAAGAAGGTGCATATTGTTGACTTTCTTAATTATTCTCTCATCGAGATTACTCTCGTTCAAATGTGATCTCGATATATTTATGTATCTCTCGTTTACTTCGGCATCACATGTCCATTAGCTTTTGTCTTGGTTCGTCTCGGATTTGGAATCCAAATTCTGCACATGGTGACGCGTCTAACTATGTTATTAACTTATCTTGATGTGTTTCTAAAAATGAAAAACTATCTTCACAAACCAACACGGGCTCTTCAAACATGCTTTGTCCTCGCTCAAAAGAGATGTTACCTTATTATTAGAAACTCAATCATGTAAAGAACTATTTCACCAACCATAGTTTCCTTCAAGTATGCATGTATTTGTACTCTAATTTGAGCTGCTCTAGTGCTCAACCTTGAATTGGTCGGATCATGATAAAAGAGGTTCAGTGGTCCTATAATTCCTAACCAGAAAGTTGTGATGGTTATGCATCCATGAATATGTTTTGAGACATTAGGAGACCTTTTTGTATTAGTTTTGTGATCTAAAACTTTTGGCAACTACGAAACCTTTTTGAAATAAATAACGACTCTTCTTGACTGATAGTGTCACAGTTACTAGAAGGTTGAAGAATGTTGGCAGGTCGGGGGTTTACAGAGTCAGAGTTCGGCAGCCGAAAGGAGTTAAGGTTTCAGTGAAGCCAAGCGTTTTGAAATTTGGAAAGATGGGAGAGGAGAAGAGCTTTACAATGACGATGACTGGAGCTTTGGCGGAGGGTCGAATTAGTTACGACACGCTGATTTGAACCGACAACAACCACTTTGTTAGGAGTCCAATCGTAGTTTCCTCCGACTTGGAAGCCCGAACCAACCTAACCCAATAGGATCCCACATTAAAAAAAAAAAAAAAGGTTATTGGGCCATTATCATGTTTTGGGCCAGAATCTGTCCATTTCCGATTCATTCCCAAATTGGAAGCCCGAAGCCCATCCAGATTTATTACTGTTTCTGCTTCCGCTTCTTCAATGTCTTCCGTTTCGAACGAATCACGATTCCCATTCACTGCTCCTTTGCTGTTCCCATTATCCCACCACGGTGATGAGCGTTGACGAAGCTGTTCTTCCTCCTCCCCCTGATTTGCAACCCTAGCTCTCGTTTCAGGTATTTCAATTCCTTCTTACGCTTCAACTTCTTGCACTTTTCTTCCTTTTCAGCCTTCACTTGCATCCCCCCACCTCCCCACGCCTTTCTGTTTTCCTTTTCTAATCACTGGAAATTCAATTCAATTCAATTTACCACAGAGTTGTCCATTGCCGTTCATCGCCGTTCTCTTCCTCTCCATTCCCACTCTGTTCCTTCTCAGATTCGAGCTTCAGCGCTCAACTCCTCCAAATCTAGACCCATCACGTCGGTTCCCTTCCGAAACGCTTCACTCTCATTTCTCAACGCGTCACAACTTCTAAGATTGGAGTTTTCCGTTCTTTTAGTTTTCTTTTTTATAATAATTATTATAATTTTTTTATTTATTGTTTTCTGACTCTTGCTTTCTGTGAGTCTGGCTTTCGGTTGATGTTGGGAAAGATGATTTTTGGTTTGAATTTTCTATCTGATTTATGGAAATATGGTTGTTCTTCCTTCGATTTTGTGTTCGATTCTGAGTGTGAACTCACCTTTGTTGATTGTGCTGTTCTAGTCCAACCTTATTGAGATTTACAGGTTTGGTGCCATTTTCAGGATTTTTTTTTTCTTTCTTTTCCTGTGTCTCATATATTCTTGAATTCTATTTCTCCGTTTTAGATAGGGAAGAGTCGTATCTTTAGGTGAAATTTGACATCCTGAAGGATACAAATTTTAGAAGGTATTTTTAAGCTAGTATGGTTCTGTAGAGTTCTGTGGGGTTTGGAGGATAGATAGCTTTTTATTCAAAGGAATACTTGAGGATTATCTTTGCAAGACTGGTTTAGTTGGTGATTTAGCTTGTGGGGAAATCAAAATGTCTTGCAAGATTTGCTAGAGATGTTTCTACCTAATTTGAAGTCAACCACATGGACTATCTTCTATTAAGGTTTAGTTCCTTTGGAAACATTGTTAAGCGAACCACAAATCTTAGTTCATTGGAGGCTAAGATTATTATTAATATCGAGAACTCTTGCAAAGAAAACGTCTTAGCTGGGAATATTGGAGATGGTAGTGGTCCAACCAAGATGACTATTGAATCAGTGCTTGAAATTGAATGGGAGAGATTACTTGAACCTTTCGATCTCACAAAGCTTAGGAACTCTCGCATTCTAATTTCCCCCTGTTCAACTTTGTACATTGCTTGAGCTTCCACTTGTGTTGTTCCCACATTGTTGGAAATATTTCAACGGGTGAGTGACCGGAAGAGAAATTGCCAAACATTTGATGTATACTATGTGTTTATAAATAAACTTGGGACAATTGGGGAGCTCAAGGTTATAAATAAACTATTAAAGCAGATGAAAGAAGAAGGGATTTCTTTTTGAGAGTCCATTTTCATGATAATTACGAAACATTATGGGAAAGTTGGACAACCTGGACAAGCAGTTAGATTGCTCCTAGATACGAGGGATTTCTATTTATGTGCACCAACTTTCACATCTTATGAGTAGTTTTGGAAGTACTTGTGACTTGTAATTGTCCACAAGTTGCCACCAATATTTTCTATGTCATGTTGAGTAAGGGTGTCCCTCCCACTGTATTTCTTTTGGCATTGTGATGAAAGCTCTTTGTATGGTTAATGAGGTTGACTCTGCATGCTCACTGCTTAGAGACACAACAAAGTATGGATGTGTACCCTATTCTATTGTTATAATACATGCACCTTCCGAAAAAAACCAAGCTAATGAAGTCTTAAAGCTTTTCGAGGAAATGTTTGTTATGGGATGCATTCATGATGTTTAAACCTTCAATGATATTATTCATGGCCTCATGTGCTTTTAAGGAGGGCTGCATTCTGCACTCACATTTGTTAATGATATGTTGTTCAGAGGATGCACCATTGATAAGATTACTTACAATGGTCTGATAAAAGTATTTTGCAATGCTGGAAATGATGGAAAGGATTGGAGTTATATGAACAAATGATAATGAATGGGCTTAGTGCTGATACTATATCGTGTAATATTCTGAACAACAGGGTCGGTAAAGTTGGAAATGTGGACAACGCATTTGAGTTTCTAAGAGATGATTAATCGAGGTTTTATGCCTGACATAGTCACTTATAACAGTGTTTTAAATGGACTTTGCAAGGTTGGATGTATCAAGAAAGCTTTTAAATCTATTTGATAGATTACAAGTTTAAGGTGTTTGCACCGATGCTTTTACCTATAACGCTTTTATCAGTTGGCACCGTAAAGAAGGCCTGGTAAATGAGATGCTTGTTTATTTCTTTAGAGGTGTAGAGAATGATTCTGTACCTAGTAATGTGACTTGGAAAGTGCTGGTCTATACTTCGGTAAAACAAAGTAACAATGAGAATTGGTTTTCCGCCCCGATGAGTTATGGTGATAAGACGTACTGGTGAAATAATTGTTCATGTTAGATGTTATTATGGTGGTAAAATGTACTAGTGAAATTGTTTTCTGAGACACTTAAGTTTCTTCTTGTGATTCACACATTTGGCAGAAAGTTTAAGAATGCTAGTACTTTAGCGAATTGCTGGCACCCTTAGAAACAGAACCATAAGGCTAAGACAATTTTTCTCTTGATTAAATAAGTTTTATGCGTATTCATGCCTCATTCAAATAGGTGTTTCTTGGCTTGATTGGAGTTTCTTACTTCATTGTTTGCTCATGTATTGGTTCATTTCAGTATATTATGGTTTGATAAGCAAATTTCTCTATCACTTGGTGTGATAACTTTTGTTTACCTTCTTTTTTTAATGCAAGAAATAACTAAAACTTTTCATTAAGACAATGAAAATGTTAGAAAAGAAAAAGGGAAAAAAAAAAGAGGTTGTACACAAAGCTCTTCTGGTTCACACAAAGATTAGATTTGCACCTAGAGCACCAATCATAATATATCTGCATGATCTAGACGAGGATTTACAACATAGATTCTTTTATTGAGTTTCCACCATAATAAAAAGAAAAACAGAAAAAAAAAAAGAAAAAAAAAGAGAAAAAATATCTTATTGATTACAAGATCTTCCCCCCTTTTAAAAAGATGACATCTGAGAACATAAGTTATGTGGGTGAGG